CAGTCTCTGTCTGAGCATCCCCACACTTTCCCACCTCACCCTGTCTCAATCCCACCTCAAGTGGTCCCACAAGACCCCAGTGGGACAGCAAGTCAGCCTGTAGCAGATGCAGCCCTACCACACCCAGAACCCAGCATAAGGACATTACAGCATGGTGGTGCGTTGGGGTGAGACTGGTGAGGAACATGCAGTTATTGAAAAACGAAGGTGATGATCACAAAAAGAAAAAGACAAAAAGGCAGGCACATCAAACTGTAAACAAACAGGTCAGCCCACCCAGAGGCCAGGCAGAAGGGCAGAGGTCTCTGCATGGCGCCTTCAGTGGTGATGGGCACAGGAGGCGCTGGCCTGGTCTCCATGCCCCCTGAGCTCGCACCCACCTTAGGAGGGAGAAGCAGTCACTCTCCTCCTTGCAGTCCCTTCCCACCTTCACAGGCGGGCATCTGGGTCCATGTGACCCAGGGAGCTTCGTGTCCCCATGGCTGGGGAGCCAAAAGCAGATATAATTAGCACAGGTTCCAGAGAGGCCACTCCATGGACACCTAACTTGGCTAAACAGTATCCCCTCAAGAGTGTCATTTGGTGACTGACTTTTTAAACAAAATAACAAAATGAGGTTGTCTGGGAGGCTGTTCTCAAGTGCGCCCCTTTGGATTCTGTGGGTGACAGGAAACATCAGTCACGGACCATACAAGAAGAGATGATAAAGTCATAAAGGCAGAAAGCAAGGGGACACAGAAGAAATCAAACACATGCTATCCCCCCCACCCCCACCCCAGCTCCTCTGGCCATGTCCTGGAATGGTGCCTGTTTTGCGGTTGGCTGGCTCCTCTGAGGTCCCCTGGCGATGTCACAATCTGACGTGATGTCAAACCGGCTCTGGAATGAACTCTGGCCTTCCCGATGAGTCAGGGAGAGGGCTTCCATGAGAGTCTGCTGTTTACACACAATTATGGCCGGCAGCAGCAGCAATGCCGGAAGTAGAGTCAAGGGTCACAGGTGACAGTGGCCAGGGCAGCGCCCAGTCTCTCACACCCCCCACAGCCCACCAAACCCTAGTCTCAGGGGTACTTGCTTGGCAACCAGGGAACTGACATTGGGTGGAATTCTGACCATCAAACCTAAGGGCCCAGCCTGAAACACAGGCAAACCTGCCCTGAACACCCATCTCCACCCTATCTCCAACATTGCTGGGTTCACACCCCCTGCCGGGCTGGAAGCCACCACCCAGTGACTCAGCCTTCTCCCACTGTGGAGACCAACATGGGGACAAGAGGGAATACCACAGGGGAGTGGGCACACTAAGGACTCCGTGGTCTCTTTCTTGGCCTCTGCTTGTCCACCACCCACTCTTGTCCTGTGCACATAGGCCTAGGGCACGAGGTCACGCACAAATCCCTTTTATGGCTGCGTTCCCCAAATGAGACCTCGGCACACAGGCAACCTGGGCAGGCAGCGCTGCCCTCTGAGCCTCCATGTCCCCAGAGCATGAGGAAGGTACAGGCATACTCCACGGGCTCCATCAATACAGCACAGCAGGAGGGGCTGTAAAAGGCCACCCTGCCTGGCCGGGCCACCTGGGAGGGAGGGCTGGCGTCTGTACTGTGGGAGAGGAATGAGCTAAATTAAGGATTCTCCTGCCAGTGCCCGGGTGACGTCCCTGCACCACCCACCCGCCAGCTGGTGAGCAGCCTTCACTGCCCACGTGGCCACAGGGATGTTGTGGGGCCACCCCCTGCTCACTCTGCCCACCATGCTACAGGTTGCCCCACCCAGGACCTTCAGTCCCCTTCTCAGCAACTCAACTGGTGCCTCATGGGAGGGGGCCCAGGGCCCAGCCCCCACACAATGCCCAATTGCAGTTTCTTGGTGGTAAGACCCACTGGTGAGATTTTCCTGATGGACCTGCTGCCCTGGTCATGCTCAGCTCCTACCTGCAAAGTCAGCCCGTGAAATGGGCCGGGACAGTCACTTGCTCTCCAAGTACGTACAACAAGCGGCCAAGCTGTGTCCCCACACCCTCTATACAAACCTCCTTGCAGGTAAGGGCGCCACCGGTGGAGGACCATAGCAGGAACTATGTCTGGGAGTTGAGAGCCCCAAGAGGAGCCAGGACTACAAATACTCTAATGGAGTCCCACAGCTCTAAGGGTCAGTCACTGGGCTCCTCACAGCCCTGAGAAGGATCCAGGATCAGACACGAGGCATCCTGTCTGATACAAGGCCTCAGACAGGTAGGACTGAAATCCAAACCCAGTTGAGCCTCCAAACCCCAGACTAGGCCCTAGATGCTTCCTGAACAAGGATGCACTACTTTCCACTGAAACAACAACAAAAAAAACTAACTTGTTGCTGTCAACGCCATCACAGAGCTTGTAAACTGGAGAAGAGACAACTACCTGTCAGCTGAGCTCCACCAGAGCCCCTGTGAAGAGACCCCACCCAGGTAGGTGAGGCAGGTGCCCAAGCAGGGCCACTTCCTGCAGCGTGGTCAGGGACACTGCCAGGGGATGGAGTGACATCGTCCTGAAAAGATGGGTGACATCAGAACTTCCTCTCTTCTCTCCCGGAAGTCACCCCTCCACATAAGAAAGGAGGCTCCACCTCAGGAGTGGTTGCCTTAGAACGCTCTAAGTATTTACATCAAAGAGAGGCAACCAGAGTCAAAGACTAAGCAGTCAGCAGCTGGATGTGTAAGCACACCCTGACTTTCCAGCATGCTCCGGCTAGTCACTATGCACAGGGACAGCTCCAACTCCTCTGCAGAGAAAGACAGCAGGACCTGTATCTGGGCTGCTTCAAAATTTCCCAGAGAATGCTCTGCAGCACACTCCTTCCCCATACCCTGACATACCTGAGTTTGCAAAAGCCTCATTTCAGTTAAAAACACAAAAGCCCTCCCTTCCCATGAGTTCCCATTGGCAAACCACATAACCACGGGGCTCAACGACAGAAGACTCTGGACAGATGGCTGTTGACAGAACTGACACGTGAGACGCTGTCAGGAGCCAATGAGAGTCTCTGTTTACATAAACAAGTTCTCCAACTAGTCTTCCCATCCCACCACCCAATATCCCTGGGAGCTCCAGTCACCCAGATCCACACTCCGCCCACCACACTGCCCAATGAGAATAAGATACCCCAAAACTACTGAGATTAAATTCCCCGTTGTCTTTGGACACAAACACAAATTCAGATCTCCCCAAAACATAAGCTCCCAGTCAAGTCTCCCCAAGTGGCTTGCAGCAATGGTCAGTGAGCACTCCACTCTCAGGCCATGCTGGGGGCAGTCTGGCCATCTGCAGTTGCGTTTACCCTCACAGGAGAAAAGAGCCAGCTTGGCTCTGCAAGCTATATCACCCACACCCAAAGTGAAAAATAGCAGTGTGATGGCAGGAGATGGACACCAGGCCGGTCTTCGAACAAGCATGGCAGGCGAGGGCTGTGACTCGGGGTGACCAAGTCTCACATCCGCCTTGTTCCTGTGACTCACACAGGCTCTCTCCAGCTGCTTCTAGGAAAGTTGCCTTCCTTCCCAGAGGACACACAGGGATCCTAGAAGACTACCTGTGGCCAGAATTCCACCAGGAAAAAGGTTTCGTCTCAGGCCACCAACTCCTCACCTATGGGGGCACCCCACCTCAGTTTGGGGAAGTCTTTGGACAAGATGAGAACTGGCTCTTCCACACTAAGTTGAGATCTCCACTAGACAAAGGAGGAAACTGAGGCACCAAGCCGGGAAGAAGAGCCTGCAAGTTTGAGCTACCCAGAGCATGACAGGAACCAAAAGGGGAAGAAATTCCCGGCTTGGCTCATGGTGCCAAGCGAGTCCAGGGCAGGAAGAACGCCACATTCCTTCCTAGTTAGTCCTCTCTTGCCTGCGGCCCCCACCCCCACCCCAAGACGCAAACATGCAGGCAGCCCAGTCTCCCCAAGATCCAATGTTCTCCCCCCAACCCTGCCATCATATCACTCTCTGAAGACCCCACTTTCCGGTCATTAACACTGAAAATCACTTCCTCCTGGAATCTGTCCACTGGACACCTGCAACTCAGGTCCCCGAGGGGAGGGAGGGCGCCATGACACACAGAAACGGGAGCGGCAGGTTCTGACTTCAGCCCCAGATGTGCTCCCCAGACAGACCTGGAGGACAGGGCACAGTAGCCAACCCCCACACCTCCCAGAGGGCAGAACCGAAACGCTTCAAACTACCCTAGATGGGCCCGAATTGGCCCCTGAGAAATTTAAGAATCCACAGCCACCAGGTGCCCGTGACTGAAGCTTCCGCCCAGGTGCCCACCAGATGAAGTTCCCCAACAAGGCCACCGACCCCGCCACACAAGACCACACACACACACACACACACACACACATGCCCGTAGAAAAGCACTAGTTTTCCCCCAACGTTCTCACACTTCAGAGGTGTCAAGTCAAGTCGGGCAGGGTCACCTGGAGGGAGTGAAGGCTTAGGGACGAGCTGTCAAGTTTCTACCTAAACGCCTCTTCCTGAAAATTAAGAGCAGCTCCGATTCCCGGGCCTCTCTGACAACCTCGAAGGCGGCACCCAAGGGCAGAGGCAGCATCCCAGCCCACCTGCCCACCCACCAGCTCCAGGATCCGGAAGGAAAAACCTCAAGAAGGCCGCCCCCAGAGGTACCCCGACGGCGAGGAGCCCATTCCCCACTGCCAAAGATGCAGATGGAAGAGCTGCTCCCAGGAGAGCAGACAGAGTCACCCCAACACCCTTTCAGGGACCCAAACGGAAAAGTCTTGGGTCCTCCCGCCAGGTGCACAGACCCGACCCTGCTCTACCCAGGTGCCGAGAAGGCGAGAGGAGGATCCTCAGAAACCCCTCGAATGCACCCTGGCCTGGCGCGCGATTCCGGGCTCCTTGTCGTCCCGGGTTTCCCGCCGGTACAGCCCCCCGGAGCCCGGGAAGGCCGCGCCAGACCCGCGCCCCCAGGCCCGGTCCCGCGCCCCGCCGCCGTGCTGTTACTCACCTGGCTAGCACGGTAGCTCTCGAAAGCCCTCAGGGCGCTGTCTGTGAGCTTCACGTGAAACACGGACACCCGGCTGCCGTCGTCCAGCCGCCCGCACGACAGCCCGTAGCTCCGAGCCTCCTTCAGCGCCGCCATCTTGCGACCATCGCTCCCCCGCCCCCCGTCCCGGCTCCGGCGCCGAAGCGCGGCCCCGCCCCGCCCACCACCCGCTGACGTACTTCATTATTCATGAGACGCGTCGGGTCACGCCCCCTGCGCGCCTACTGCCCCGCCTCAACGTGCTGCATATTCATAAGTCACGGTTGACCCCGCCTCTGAAGGTTCTCGGCTCGATGCCCAGACTCCACCCCGACACGCGCATTCCTTCAGGCCACGCCTTCATTAATTATTCATGATGCTGAGTCAGCCGGGTCTAGAGAGGCCACGCCCACATGCCACTGACGTAATGCATTATTTATGAGGTCTCTTCCTCTCTCCATCATAGACTTCCGTTGAGAGTCGCTAGGGAGGCACGGAGGCGTGGCTTGCGCCGCGCACGTGGGGGGCGGAGTCAGCAGCTAGTACGATAAGTAGGCAAGGTTATGCAAATCGAGGTCGCGGAGGACGCTGGGTTTAATCGTTTATACTTCCCTTAAGGTAAGCAGGGGGCATTTCCTGGAGCGTGCTGCTGTGGATAACACGGTAAACTTTTGTCTGTGTTAGGAATGTTCTTTGCATACAATAAAATCCTACAGCCCCAGGGGCCCTGAGCGAGGCTGGGGTTCAGTTTCCTATTTTTATAAACAGCCTTATTTGAACTATATTTTTACATAAACTGAAATTCTGCAATTGAGATGGTACACTCAAATGTACACATTTAATGAACTTCTTGTAACTTTACCATAACCACTTTTAAAATACTTTGTCCTACAAAAAGGTCCCTTCTCTCATTTAATTTTTATGCCTCTCTTTGGCACCGGTAGGATGGTGGCACCTAAGAAAACCAACTAACTCATAGGGACCTTATGCATAGCAGAACGAAACATTGCCCAGTCCTGGGCCAACCTCACTATTGTTGCCACGCTTGAGCCCACTGATGCTGCCACTTGGCCAATCCATCTCCTTGGGGGTCTTCCTCTTTTCCCCTGAACTTCCACCTTACCAAACATGATATCCTTCTCCAGCGAATGCTCCCTCCTTACAATATGTCCCAAGTATGAGAGAAGAAATTTGGCCATCTTGGCCTCCAAGGAGCACTCTGGCTGCACTTCTTTCAAAACAGATCTATTGGTTCTTTTGGCAG